AGTTGGCTATAATAAGACCAGACCTATACAAGCAAGTAAGATGTATCGCATATAGCCTACAAGACAAAACTATAGAATACTTGCTAGAATATTTAGCCTATAAAAATTAACTAAAAGAGATATGAAATAAAAAAGTAAATAGAATCATCAAAAACTTTAAAAAGCTTCCAGAAAAAAGAAAGAGTGAGGCTAAAGAGAAAAATTCTAGATTAATTATTGATGATCAAGAAGAAATAAGAGAGTTTGACAAGTAGATCTCTAAAGTAGTAGAACAGGTTTCTAAAACTAGCCAGGATATACTAAGTTCCTGTACTGGTCTTATAAGAACAGATATTATCCTAAAAATAGCAAATCTAAAATGTCAAGGTAAATGCATAGGAAGAATAGCAAGAAAGTGAATAATAAAAATGCAAAGAAGAGTCTATAATCAAGTTTGAAAAGAAGTTTAAAACAAGAGATGTGAAAAGATAATTGAGTGGAAAAAAACATAAGAAATTGATAGAAAAAACAAACAAGAAGACCTTTATATCTTTCAAGTCAGAAAATTCTATTTCTAAAAAAAAAAAATCCATTAACTAAAGAAGGAAACCTTGAAGATGAAGGTTTTCAAGAAATTCCAACAAGAAGAGTGAAGTATGAAATGAAATGTTTAGGTTTTAAGCTCTGTTAGAATCTTGCAGAATGATCTGTAGTAGTAACCTGCAGATAATAAAGTTAATAGTTGGAAGAGTCTTTACCTAAACTACTAATGGAGTGATAAATCATTTCCAAAGTTGCATTTAGAGTTTTAATAATTCTTTAAAATAGAGATAAGTGAGTTAGGTAAAGACTTAACTTTAGCAATACATTCTCACATGTAAAATATACATATATTTAATAAAGTACATATATTTAATCTAACAGAGAGTTTAAAAAAAAAATAATAACAAATTATATATAAACCTATATTTAAAAAGTTATATTTATATATATTAGTTTATAAAATTCATTATAATATAAATTTATTGAATTAAAATAAAAATATAAAATATAATAATAATAATAAAGGTTATAAAATAATCTTAAGTAAAATTAATTTATAGTTATTTAAGTATTTATATTTTAAGTTTAATTTAATTTAAATAATTCTTTATTAAATTAAATATATTTGAAAAAAAGTTAATTTTTTTTGTTCCATATTATATATAGTATTGTTTATTTCAATTATCAATAAGATATTTTTTACTTAATAAAAAACTTATTGTTTTCTTTATATTAAATATTAAAGAATTTAAATAAAGTAACAAATTATTAATATTTATTTTATTAATATTAATTCATTATTATATTATATACTATTTAGAAACCAAACAAATAATTATAAATTTATTTTTCAAAAAATATTATATTATTTATTGTATTATTTTAAATTTTTTTTAACTTAGTTAGTAATTATAATAATTTCAAAGATATTTTTGTTTATATTTTTAAATTCTTTATTTAATATATATTAGTATGTTATTTATTTGAAATTTAAATTCAAAATAGATATATTTATTATTTTTATTTATTTGCTTTTTAATCTAATTATATAAAAATTAATAATATTATCTTTAAAATATTTTTAAATTATAATAGAAATAAAAATATTATTATAAAAGCTTTAAATACTATAGTTTATTATGAATTATATTTATTAAAATATTCTTGTTTTATTAATTTTAAATATTATATAAAAATATTGTATTGATTGAACTGATTTTAAAAGATTAATTAATTAATATTTTTATCTTATTGAATCCATAAATCTTGAATTTACTTTTATATAAATCAATCTAAATCAGATTTTTTCTATTTACTGTTTTGATAAATTTTACAATACTGATATCTATAATATATTTTTTATATATAATTATTTTAAATATTTTTAGTAACTAATATTATACTATTTGACTTTTGCATTTGATTTATTTTTCATAGTAATTAATTAATATTTTTAATTTATTTTTTTATTAATGAGAAAATTCATAAACAAATTATTTTCTATATTTTAATTGTAATATTATAATTTATAATAATAAAGACTATTATATTTTAGGAATTTGTATATAGTATTATAAGTATAGTTGATATTTTTTGTTTTATTTATCGATGATTATAATAAAATTTTTACTAAATTTATTTAATTATTATATTATTCTTAATTAAGATTCAAGTCAAGTTTATTTTTAATTTATTATTTGTAACTAGTTTTTTGAAAAAACTATTTATATAAAAAGCTAATTGTTTAATTTTTTTTTTTTATTATATTGTATTTTAAAATATCAATAAGTTTATTTATATATACTTTATTAAAGTTTATATTTATTTTATTAAAGTTTATTTTTAATTTTTTTACTTGTATATTTATATTAATAGATCTGACAATAAATAAAATTATTCTTTTATAATTTATAGATAATTTGACAATTAGTAAAGTTGTTAAAAAAAAGAATTTACTTTTTTTTCTTAAACTTTTTTATTTATTTAACTGTAAAAGTAAATAGGTTTATATTAATAGCAATTCAAGTAATTAAGATAAAGATAAGTATAATTAATAGTAGAATTATATAAAAACCAATATAAAGTAACATAAACTTTATTATCTATTAATCTAATTTTTATTATAGTATTTGAAGATTTAAAATAAATTTTTAAATATGTTTTTTATTTATTAAGGTTCAATAAAATTATTTCAATTTGTAATTCAAAATTAATTTAATCTATTCTTTTAAGTGATTTTTGTAAAAAATACTAGTTTTCTGTTACTTTGGTAAAAACATATTTATATCACAAAGAAATCAATATTTTATGTCTATTATAGAAAATTTGAATTGTTTTTCAGTCTTTAAGTGTCATTGTAATAGTGCTGAGAAATCAATTTATAAATATAATCTTGTGTCTCCTTAGGGATGAAATGACTTTTTTATACTCTTTGTTATTCAATAGAATGGATTTAACAAAAAGAATATCTCCTTGATAATTAAAGATTTTTTTTTATCTTCAACTTTGAAAAGTGATTTGCAATTTTTTGACCAATGCAAGTGTTGCTACTACAAAGTTTCATTTCTGATTCTATAGAATTGTCTAGGATGTTTCTGGGTTCTCAGTGTTTGAGTTGACTTTGTTTGAGATGAATTATAAATAATACTATTATTATTATAATATTAAAAATTAAAAATATACTGTACATACTGTATATAATTTTTGGTGGTTGATAAGATAAATATTTAATCATTCACTGATATGGTGTCTGTTTCATCGCTATTAGATTAACATTGGTAAATTTAAATTTAAATTTATGGGCGGTGGTTAGTAACAGCTTCATACGAAATTTTTATTCCAAGAGCATTTAATTAATTAAATAATAGTAATAAAAAACAAAAATTTTTTTTTTGGCTTAAATATACCTTTTTATTTTGTATAATAAAGTCATATACAATGTACACAGTATATTCTTGGGCTCCTTTACGAGTTTACACTTGTGAGTTGACGCACTATCTTCGTGTGATATCACCCCCACAGCATTGAAGCATCGGATAAATGATATCAAAAAGTGGCTCCCACCTTTTTCTGCGTTTCCGTGACATCAACTTTCACTCATGCAACTTCAAACCATAATTGACTTGCACCAACTTTTGACGGTCGCTCGATTAGGATCGAGTGTTGTTTTCTTTAAAATTGTTAGGGAATGCATGAAATTCAATAGACCATACGCGTTTCTGCGCCGTCCAACTAGAGAGTTTAATTCAAAATGGATACCCGCTATTACTGGTTTTCTTCGTAAATGCTTCTTTCTTTAGCGCTTCCACAATGTTGTAGCATTCATTTTTTATTTAGCCACAACAATCGTCATCATATTTCAAAGATGAGACAAAACAAATATCTTTTGTATTGCATGCAATTTTAATCGCATGTAAGGGACCAATTTGTGCGACCCGTCCGTACGTGCAAGTTTTGGTTACGCGGAGTAACCCGGGTTACAGGAATTAAAAAGAAACCCTCGGATTTTAATTATTGGTTTGATGGTAACTACAATGAGATAATTACTCGCAAACAACAATGTAACCAACAAACATTTTTTATTGTAATTGAGAGAATTATTTGTTTTATGCACAGTATACACGATAGATCATCCATCGGTTTTTTATTTTCAATAACGAAAGGAATTTATGGGAAACACCGTTTGCACATAGTGAGACGAGGCGAACTTGGTGAGAAGAGTAAAAAGTGATGAAATTATCAGTCTAACCTTTTGTCTATTACAAACAACTTCATGTGGTAATATTTACTGGAACCAATCATTAATTTTGTTTGTTTTCAGGTAATGAATACAATGGAATCCTGTGTCTATTAAGAGAATAAATAATAACGTGCGCTGACAGGTCTGTGACTTTAAAACGATTTCATTCTCGGGTGTTTGAGAGCTCGCCACATCATTCGATACATGAAAAATATAGCGCATTATCAATTGTGCACAAAAGTTTTAAATCGTACAATCTCAGGAAGTTATATATAAGGTTCTGTTTTACCGAGAATGGGATCCGAAAAGTTATGAAGAAAAATAACGACAACAGCCATCATCCACTATCTCCATTCGGTACCAACGATGATAATTGTGAGAAAATCCTTGATACCTATCGATACGTTAATGGTAGAAGGTTTCACAATGTCTTGGGCGTCAATTACTGTTTACCCAATGACGAAGAGGTAGGACTTATTGTGAGATCCGAGTTTTTAAGGATAATATTAAATAATTTCCTGAACCTTTTAGGAGACTTCGAGATTAAACTTGGAACATAAGTTGGTCGCGCATGCCTGGCAAGGCAATTTCAGCGCTCCAATGCACGAAAGACTTTCAGAAGGAAATTTGCGGATTTTAGATGTCGGGTATGTCAACGATTGGTTATGCTATAATAAAAATTATGTATAGTACTGATCAAATTTGCCCATCAATAAGTTGCGGCAGTGGTGCACTAATTATGGATCTGGCAAAAGAATACCCAAAGAATTTATACATTGGAATTGACATTTCCGAGATGTTCCCGAGTGAAGTTGAACGTCCTTCGAGCGCGACCTTCATAAAAGCAAACCTACTTGATGGACTGCCGTTTGAGAACAATTCATTTGATTTCGTATATCAGAGATTTTTGGGTATCTCTCTCACTGAAGTACAATGGAAAGTGAAAGTAATTCCTGAGCTGGTAAGAGTTTTGAAGCCTGGAGGGTGGATTGAAATTATGGTAAGTTGCTGGTTAATGTTTTGTTGGATCAAGAAAGAACCCATGTGGATTTTATGAATTCTAGTAATTATTGTTCCTTGTAAATTAGGAATATGATTTGATTTGGTTCTCCTTGGGTCCAAAGACAAACGTGATGTTAACTAAATGTACGCGTTACTTTTTTTTCTTGTTTTTTTTTTTTTTTTTTTTTTCAGGCAAATTGTATTGGATGATGGTAACATATTAAATGGTTTGAATTAATAGTAAAAAATAAATTGCAAGAGTACGGAATCAACGTAATCATGAGCCGCAAAATTTCAGAATTATTAAAGGCGAATAACGTTCATAATGTCGAAACGATATCCAAGTCCATTCCATTAGGCGACTGGGGCGGAAAACTAGGAAGTATGTTATATAAATGTCGCAGACAAGCAGTTTCACACGCAAGAGGAGCAAGTCTTGATATGACTCCCGAGGAGTATGATGATTGTTTAGAGGGTAGCGCCCGCGAGATCAACGAGTATAAATCCTATACCATGTCACATAGGTACAGTATGCTTGTTCGTTACACACTTCTCACTACTTTATGATTGACCGATATATCTTTTAAAATACAGAATTTATGGAACCAAGCCTCATGGTCGATTTTAGCAATTTTTGTAAAAGTTGTATATTCGAAGGGACCAAGGTCATCCACCTTTCCATTTTTATACAAATTAATCTTTCCCTTATAAGATGCGATGCCTTTCGAAAGTTTTTTTTTTTTTTTTTTTTTTTTTTTACCACGAAAATCGTCAACAAAGGGGATATCCACCGTACATTTCTTCGATATATTGATCATAATGAAATGTGGCAGTGAAGATGAATGGAAGAGGTAAAGGTCAACGTTAATTTATGCATGTAGGTCACGATAAGATGATTGTGATGCAGAGGCGTACATTCTCTGCATCTAGATTGTAAACACTAGTCGAGAATAAATAAATGCCAATCACGAATTGCACGTCTTGGCAGAAAAAAAAAAGAAGTTTTACACTTTTATATTGGTGTATGTGTCATGTTTATTTTATAAATAATTCTTTTTAGAAAAAAACAAAAAGAAAAAAAATTATACATTTAACTCACAGTTACTGTATATATTTTATTATATTACAAAATTTATTCTATATGTATGTCAACATTCCCGGTAGATTTTCCTCTAGGTTTCCTCCCGTTCACCCACGCATATGCCGCAACTTCAATCACCTGATAGACCTCACCAAACGATGAACTCTAAGATGTCTTCGCATGTTACTCTGCACGGAGAATTTTCTTCCGCATCCCGGTTCGGTGCAAATAAAAGGTTTTTCCCCAGTATGTGAATAAGTGTGAATTTTGAGAGAACTTGGTCGTGAAAATCTCTTCGCGCAATAAGAGCATTGATAGCGGTTTCCATTGGAAGAATCATTCAAGGGTTGACCACAGAGACCTTGAGAAGAAGAGTTACCACCCGAAGTCATACTTTCAAATGAAGTTGTATTAAAACGTGGATGAAAATAATGATGGTGGTTATGTGAAAGTGGGACTTGAGCGAAGGAACCATTTTGTTGGGTCGACGACCGAAAATGCTGGTGATCATATGTTACCGAAGGTCCCACGCAATAACCACATTGTTGTCGCGGGGATGGAAGGGATGGTGGTGGTGACAACTGTTGATACATCCCTCTCGTTCCAGGTGACTCCGGCGGTGAAATCAAAGACCCGCAACTACCATTGTAAGTGTTTTGAGTGGTGAAGTCTGTGGTTTTCTTGTTATACGAGCCAATTGCAGATAGATGGTCGGTATCCGCGAACTTTGGAGACGGGAGGTTTCGTTGGTGATAGGCATGAGGGTTAATAATTGATGACGTAGAGGTAGGTATTGGTGGAGATGGATATCCTAATAGGGGACAAATTTTATTAAACCAAATGTGCGAAAAATAATCTTCTCGTGACTGAAACCTTACCGTAGTCATCGCTGTTGGGTGAATTGAGAAGAAATTTGATCGGTGGAAGAGATGCTTTATTCTGCATATTTATTATATTATTTGACTTTTCTTTAAAAAAAAGGTGATTGTAATTGCTTGTGATTAGGAAAACATGCTCCGGAGATTTATCTATATATTTACAATGATAGGGATATGTGAATGCGCGACGTTTCAAAGAGAAATTAGAGGTTAATGTGCGAATCCATGTAAATGACCATTTCCTCTGTCGATCAGCTAGAAGACGGCTATTATATGGAAAAAAAAATTTTTTTTTTTTTTCTTGTGTCCCATAAGGATGAAACATTTCCATTTCTTGGGCTTTGTATGAATTTGTAATACTCATTCACCCATATAACGATACTTACAAATTTTATTTATGCTATTATTATCATTATACAGTTAACTATCCTGCATAAATTATTTTCCGAAACGACCTTACACTTGGAAGCTTTGTTGCAGTCGGAAGGAGATGGACAATGATCTTTCACGTCGACACAGAGATCATGATTTGCAGTCTGGAAATTAATTGTGTCCGTTTTGCCGATAAATTAGTGCAAGGTTTCTTTTTATGGAAAGACTTCCGAAAGTCTGTGATTTTCGGTTCCTTTTAGAAAACAACAAATGCACACAGCCACTATCAGAAAGCGGATTAATTAACTACCGAGGTTGGAATGTAGATCATTATCTATAAGTTTGAGAATGCAAGGTTAATCTTGAATACCTTTCATGTGATTGTTTTGTCAGAACACCCTGTCACCTGTTCTCCCCTAGAAAAAAAAAAAAAAAAAAAAACAATCGTTATCTTTCCATTCAGCTAATAATTGGATATTGAAAAGCGAATATCCAAATATCATCAGTTTAAAATCGGTTTAGAGATGTCTCGTAAAATCAAAGGGTCACAAGCATTCTGTACTTCCGGGTGTGTAAATAAAATATAAAAAAATTGGGATATCTTACTATTCGTATGTTCGAAGAATTTATTCATTCCTTTTTCCGCACTATTTTCACATCCACCAATTATTATGAGATAGACGATCGTAAGGTACAGCCTCCCCTTCGATTGGAGTCTTGTCACATAAAAGGGACAGAATCGTGTAACAATATGAATTTTATTTGGGAAAAACGAGTTATCTCGCAATCTATCGCTCAGATTTCCTTCGATAAAAACTCGAGGTCACCTTTTTCTTTGAGGAATAAGGCGTTAAGAATGGAAGTTACCCTGGTAATCCGCTGTTCCAGTTATGTCAGTAATTCAAAGGCTTAAGGTGAAAGAAATTGAGCTCGAATCGTGTTTTCTTAAAAACGATAATAGTAATGGCCGCATAGATTTATCTCAGATCTACGAATCACAGATAATAAGCCCGAATCATTTAATTGGCTATTAAGTAACAATGTAAAACTATACATAATAATATTATTAAAAAACAAACAAAAGGATTTATTGATTCGCATTATTAAATGATACAAAAATTGGAAATTTTTTGATAAAGTAAACAAAGTTAACTTGATTGCTATAATTTAAATTTGTTTTTTTTCTAATATATAACATGTACTGCATATATAGCATATGTATTATTTAAAATAATTTATTTCTAATTTTATAAGGAAATTTAAATTTAAAACTTTATGTATTTATCTATTTATCAATTATTATCATCATCATTATTTTTTTTTAAAAAAAAATTTTTTTTTAAATATTTGAAAATCGATCATTTTATAATATAACATTATACTAATATTATCAATCAATTATTAATAGGATTGATATTTTTAAATTATATTGTGAATTGTGTGTTAAAAAATAATTTTTTACTTAAATAATTGTTAATTGATGTTTTATTTATGTAATTAAAAAAGAAAAAATGCAAATAAAATAAAAACAAATTTAAATTAAATCAAAATTTTATCATTGATATTATTATTTTAATTAAATAAAGTTAATATTATGATTTTTTATTATTTTTGTTGAATAAAGTATAATAAAACCAATATATTTATTATTTTTTGTTGAATATAGATATTAATAACAAAATATCAGATTAAATATATTTCATTATATTATCCATAATTGAGAATAAATTTATCTATATACGGTATACTGCTAATGTAAGAATATTCGGTCTTAATAATAAGGGGGGTTTTTTTTTTAAAGAATACGCCATAAGAAAACCTTATACTAATTTTAGTCATGGGATAAAATTTCACACGAATAGAATAAATGGTTTCTGTTCACACACGTCGCCAATGGAGTTTTTTCTCATCATTGTACTTTAACTTGAATGAATGATGCTACAGTACAGTATATTTGCCTGTCGAGTTATAATTTCTTATTTATGCATAGGCAGCTTATCGAGGCCGATACAATGGACATGACCCCGATGTGAATGAGTCGGTTTTTTATTCACTGTATTATATAATATGTCAAACCGAATAAATGGTTTTTATGTAATTTTTAAAAAAAAAAAATCGTATGAACCATGGCCGATTCAACTACAACAGCCGCATGATATCTACACAACAATAGACCGAGGAACTGTTAGCATAATGTTCATTATTACAATAGATGATATGATAATGACTATCGATAAGAAAATATTTTTTAAGAATCATTCATGAAATAACAAAAAATCCTCAGATAGTGTATTGGCTTTATGAATGTTTGGATTTTTTAAATAAGCGATCTAAGCTGTTGTTCAAATGATTACATTCAAGTTTCTTGTTGACTTCAAATGTAAAGAAATTGTGATATCTTTAGACAGAAGGGGATTTGTCAAGAGGTTACCGAGGTTGGTGTGCGTCAAGTAGCAATAAAACTCGGGCTGATGTTTCAAGCGATGTCACAATGCAAAAATCTCGAGAATATCATTTGTCTTATGTTGAGGAAATTATTGTTTCCGAAAATAAAAAGATTATAATGAACTCGGTGCTGTTTGTATGTAAAGAGGTAATTATGCTTCATTGTTTATTGCTGTATTTTGCTGTGCAAACTAGTTAATAAAAAAATCTTTTTTACATCCAAACTGATCAATGGTGAGATAGCTATTTTTCGATGCATTGATCTTTAAAGCAGGACCGAATTGATATATGAGTCCAAGACGATAATGATATAATATAACGGTGATATAAGGGACAATATTATTTCTAAAAAAAAATCATCAAAGTAGACATAGAATATTTGCTGCTGTATGCAGTTCGATAATTCTATTTAATTAGGTAATTTTTTTCTTCGAGAAAGTTTTAGATCAATTATGTTTCTTCCTTCATCACTGATATCAACCAATCATCTTGAAGAACGAAACGAACCTCTGGTGAAATGCATCAATAACATAAAAAGCAGAAATTATAAAAATGCATCATCTCCATGCATTACGAGGTTATACGCTGCATAAGTTTCTGCCTACTTTAATATGAAATCGTGGAAAATTGAAATGAATTCTTCTGTCATTATTTCAAATTTCCTTTATAACAGTCCACGGAAATATCGTTCCTCAGTTATACTTTAGTTAAGTATGGCAAGGTTTAGATCTGTGTTGCATATCCTGTCCATCATTGTTGTTCTGTCATTTGTTTTGTTATCCGCGGAGAGCAGCAACGATATTGAAATTGATAAGAGAAATGGTGTGCCATTACCCTTTTGTAAAGCGGGATCGACTTCCGGCAATAATCAGATTCCTTTGGGATCTAATAATAGAAATCAAGTGTCACAACCGAGTTGTCCTAAACAACGACCAAAGCAAAAAAAAAGAAAAAAACAAAAGGGACCAGGTCCAGAACCCATAAGAGCAGAAGTATCTAGTAATGCCAAAGTGGACATCGGTCAACAATCTCCAAAAACAAAGGGGCCACCAACCAGAAGTCCTCGACCAATTGACGCTTCGGCATCCGGGAAGGTAATAAACTTTGAATCAGCCTCAATTTTTGTTCGTTTATTAAAATCCCCGTATAATTATTGTCCACCAGGCAAGAGTCGATCAAAATTCCAGACGATCAAATCGAATTCTACCATGCTGTTATCCGTGCCCCATTATACCTCAACCAACTTTATGCGAATTAAATGAATGTCTTCCGGTGCCAGAGTGTATTCCCAAAGCGCCGTCACCGAAGAAAGCTCCTTCTCCAAAGAAAGCTCCATCCCCAAAGAAAGCTCCATCCCCAAATAAGGCACCTCCAAAACAGACTTCATCTGAACCGATTAGCGTTTCGGCTTCTGGAAAGGTATAATAACCTGTCATTTGTCTTGATTGATTTATCCCACTGTCTTTATTTAATCCAATATCGTTGTTTAGGCCGTTGTTCAAGTTGGAAACCAGCCACCAAAGGCAAATCGAAAAAGGAAAAAGAAGTGTCGTGAAGCTTAATAAAAGTTTGAAGTTTCTATATCAAGATGTCACGTTTTTATAAAATTTGTGTTCTAACACCATCAGTATAATAAAGGCTTCGAAACTGATCTTATTATGAAATGAGTCGATGTTAATACCACCTTTCTGAATCATTCAAGAAAAATAGAAGAGATCAAAATTACTAACTTAAGGCAGTTTTTAACTGATCTCATGCGGATTTTCTTCATGCGAAATTTTCGATTATATCGCAATTAATTGGAAAATGCAAACGAGACTTTATAAAGATCAGAAAAAATATTTGGATAATTGTGTATACAGTCCTATTTCATATTTGTACGTGTCTTCAATATGCTATTTGTAAAAATTTTTGTTTGCACCGAAAAAGTTTGGTAATTTTGGCTTAAATTTATCTTCTGAAAAAAAAACCCCATTATACAAGGATTAAATTTATCATGCATATTACAATAATTTAAAACACAAAGTTCTATTTTTTTTTTTAATGACTTTAATGAAGCATATACGGCTAACCTGACAGAAACCAAAGTATATAATATTGTGTCTATGTATTGTTCAAACTGAATCTACAACCAACTCACTCGTCTTTGTCAAGTATAACTTTGGGATTAATTTGTCACTCTGTTTATTGTTCAGACAAATATCTTTTTTATCTCTAATTGCATAGATTTCGGAACACTAGTAACCTTTTCCCACAATATACATTTGATGGAATTATGCATTTGTAGAAAGGAATTTTTATATAATTCATATGAACCTGAACTAATATGTTTTATGGATTTAAAGGAACTTTATATAGGATATACATGTTGCATTTAAAGAAGTTCACTGTACAATATATATTTTATTTTATTTTATTGATATCGTAATTATATGCAAACACTTTATTGATTCAGATTAAATCAGCTCAAACAATCTCGTGCAACTATATTTTTTTTAAACTAAACTCGTCATTAGTAATATAAACTTGAAATCATCGTGTAATAAAATTCACATATATGAATGATCTAAAAAAAAAATCATATATTAAAAAAATTTTTTTAATCTGCAATCATACCATCATAATACATGGTTTAATTCAAATTTAGAAAACTTCTCTTTATAAATTAGTATTCATTTCTATTTATCAAAATTATTGTCAATAATTTGTTACTATAGATTGTTTTAGAAAACAATAAATTGTTAAACTAATATACTGTATTAAAAAATAAAAAATATATAATTCAAAGTCTTTTCAAAAAGTTTTTATTCAAGTAAACAATCTCTTTTTAAAAGGAACTTATCTAATTAAGATATTTTCTAACTTCAGATTTTTAATAAATTTATTTATTTATTTATTTATTTTTACAAGAATAAACATTGTTCAGTTTATTGAACATATTAGTGTCCTCAGATTTTTTTATAAGATTTATATATTATTGAATTATATTTATATAGATTCTACTATTCTAAATTCTTATTTGTGTTCTTATGATCCAGTATTTTGACAAAATGATATTTAAAACTTATAATAAATCTATTTTGTCAATACTTAAAGTATTATACCCTTATGGAATATTAATGGAAAAAATTCTACTATTCTTCTATATTACATTTAAAATCATTACTATTAAAACTTGTTACTTTATATTTAAGTTTCTTAATTCAATATCCTTTCAATATTACATTTTACCAAGTATTTTTTTTACACTATTTATTACAATATTCTATAGAATATTTATGTGAAATTTTGGATATTATCTTATTCTATCAAACTATTCTTTTTATATGATATATTATAACCTATCTATAAAATAACTACTGTATATAAAGTTTTGAATAGATTTACAATTTAATAAAAACTTGTTTTTTAACTAATATATTTAAATTTATTAAATCTTCATTTTTCATTATATAGATCTTCAGCTTATCTGCAAGAACTTGTAGAATCTTGTCTAGAAATATAATAACTTTTAGTATTAAAATTAACTTATGTGTCTTGTGATCTTTGAATACCTTAAAATTGAATAAGATCTTAATTGAATGTAATTAGATTATTATTATGAGATAGATAAGATCTTCTTATATATCTAGATTTAGGTAATACTGTCTTACAATAATATTAAACTCAAAAACAGTACCTAATGATCTAAAAGAATTATCACTATACTATTGATCCATATATAAGTCACCAAATTTATTTATTTATTAATAGAATTTTAAAAATATATCATTATGAATTTTTAAAGTTTTATTTTATGTCTTTTATTTATAAAACTTAAACTTATGATATAATTAAAATAATAATACCAGTAATATTTCAACTTTATTAATTGAAATAAAAACTTGAAAACTTTATTTTCTTTCTAAAAAAATTTTTTTATCACTTAAAAAAACTTAATAAAAAATATAAGTATTATATATTTTTTGCTCTTCTTTTAATATTATAATTATTTTTTTGGAAACTTATTAATTAAAAAAAACATTTTTATAAATTTTCTTTTTAATAAATAATATCATTAAAAAATTGTTAACCTATCCAATAACTTTCAAATCAAACAGATAAATAGGACAACTATAGCAATAATTTATTTTAAGTTGAGGAAGAATACCTCAATTATAATATACTCAAATTGATAATTCAAGAATAGTAGAGATTACAAAAATATGTTGAAAGAGGTTTTAGATAATTTGTTTAATTAAAAGATTTATTAGACATATATAATATTAAGAAGAAAATAATTCAATAGATAAAATCATAAATCAATTGTTTTGGATAATTGACATATATATATAGTATATATAATTAAATATTTATTATTTGATAATTAAAGTGATCAAAGTAACTAAAGTAACTAAATCTGTCAGATTTGTTAAATTAGATCAATATATCAGATCTGCTTACTTGGATAATCTATTAGCTAATTATAATTAAGATATAATAATAGAATAAAAAAATTAAATAATATAAATTATATAAATCATTACTTTTCCCTATTCTATAAACCAATAAGACATTCCTTATATTATATATGTTACATGCCTTAAAAATAAAATCAAAGTAATATTATAGATAATAATTATAGATAATAATTAAAAAACAATATAACTATTAATTAAAGGTCAACATTTTCTTTAGATCTATAAGTCTATGATATAGTGATAATACTCTCAAATTATAAAAAAACTCTTTCCGCTGATCCTCTGACTACATACAAAAAAGATGTTTGCAAGCAGTTTTTATACTTCCTTGCTAATAAAGTCTTAATACTTTCCTTAAAACAACTTGAAGTATAACTTCAAGAGTCACTT